TAACCCCATCATAGTGTCTCTTCATATCTCATCTCTATTGTTTCCCATAACATCCATTAAATAGGGTTAACATTGTCAAGAAAAAAAAAATCTTAATTAGTGTGTTGCATTTGAATTGATACTAGTGCAGAGCCCGTGCGATGCACGGGGTGCACAATTTTAAGGCTATTTATCCAGGCTTATAATTATATACATGAATAAAGAAAAATATACGGGATATATGTAGTACATGACCCGTGCGAGGCAAGAGATATATTTATTTGGGTAATATTATATTATAAGATGCAATAATAAATAAAAGTTTTATAATACGTAGGAAAATTGTACAATAAGATAGTATTGGACAAAGAAACAATCATATATTATTAAATTTACACAAACTATAAATATAAGAATGGCTCAATATTTTGAGATTTATAATTTATAATTGGTAGAGTAGAATCAATATATGTTAAGATTTTTAGGAAAAAATCTTGATATACGGAAATCACATTATATGGAGAGGAAAAATGGGATGGAGACGGATAAAATATTGTTCAAGTTTTAGTTTATATGAGAATTCCATGCAATATGGGACTCTTTCCAATTATTCAGAATTGTAATATTCGAATTCAATGCAAGATGGGATTTTGTATATGTATTTAGCAACTCACTTTCCAATTAATTGATGTATTACATCGGATAAATGCGGACTAAATATTGTGAAGAGTTGCATGATATTCGAATTCTTAGCAAGGTGGGATTCTTTCCAATTATTTAGCAACTTACTTTGTACACACCAAGAAAATATTGTACAGTATTTTTTTCGATGAATGTTGTGAATCAATTTTAAAAAACAATGTTTTTTAATTAATGTCGTATTTTTTTTTACAATTATTTAGCAACTTATTTTTCAATTAATTGATGTATTACATCGGATAAATGCAGACTAAATATTGTGAAGAGTTGCATGATATTCGAATTCTTAGCAAAGTGGGATTCTTTCCAATTATTTAGCAACTTAATTTGTACACACCAAGAATATATTGTACAGTTTTTTTTTCGATGAATGTTGTGAATCAATTTTAAAAAACAATGTTTTTAATTAATGTCGTTTTTTTTTAATATCTATATAAATTTATATAAATTGATGCCGTCCAAAAAAGTTTTATTTAATAAAGTTTTATTTAATTTCATAATTCATTCCTAATAAGTATCCAATATGTAACTAATTTGTACACGTAAATATCTAAACTTTTAGCGGATTTTGTGTTTTAAAAAGAAAATCATATTTAGATGTAAAACATAAATTCCGATATTTTTGTGGGATAGTTTAAAAAAAAAGCCAATCGGATTTGTCGTTGCACGCCGATTTAATTGTGCAAGCTAAAATTAAGGAAACACTGCAATTAAGGAGCCGTTTTTTGTGCTTATTTACAATTGTCCAACTATTACTATAATTAGGATATATTAAATGATTATGGCGGGAAAAACTTTCTAAATTTATAAAAAGGTTATTCTTTTTATATAATGATAGATTATGAAGTCCGTTTGTATTTTACTATTTACTTATATATATATGAAATACTTTTATCTATGAATTAGGCCTATTAGTAATATATTACTAATAAGGATATAAAATACTTTTATCTATGAATAGATACAAAACAGCAATATATATCCTTACAGATAAAATTAAATTTATTTATCAAACTAATAAATTATATCAAATAAAACTATAAATTATATTATAAAGTAATAGAAATTAGTATTTATTCGTTTAAAATAATATTTATTTCAAATCTAATTGATATGTTGTCAATGTAATAAAAATAAATAATTATTATATAAATTCTAAAATTACATATAAAGTTAAAAAACTGTGAAACACGACTGATACGACACTTGATGTATTAGGCATCTAATTAAGTAAAAAAAATTAATCTATTTTGCTTAATATTAAATAAACATATTCTACACTCATGCATATACATATCACCATAATTTCTATTTACTTAAGATATATATTATTGTACTTATGTAATATTTACTTAAGATATATGTTATTATACTTATGTAATAGTAAATAATATCGATATTTTTATATGATATAAGTAAAAAAATTCAACACGGGTTGATATTTTTATTTAATGTACGGGTATTTAATTATTATGATTAAAAAAATATAATTTGATAATTTAAGTAAAACGCAAAGTAATGTTTTATATAAAATTAAATTATTTTAGTTTTCTAAAAAAATAAAAAAATTAATATTTTTTATAAAAGCTTTCTAATTCAACACCCGTGATTACACGAGTATTGTACTAGTTTTTTTTATTTAACAAAAGTACAATTTTGAGGGTTATTATTGTATGTAAAGGCACTAGAGTCACGCACTTAATATTAAATCAGAAACGGATGAAAATCAATAATATGACTCTTACCTTTTAAATTCCTAAACCCTGTTTTATTTTCATGTATAGTCGACAATCAGAAAAAGTTCATGTTTGTTTATGAAAATTTTTGGTTTTGTTTGGATTTTTTAGTTTGGTTTGGTTAATTTGGAAAAAAAGTGGTATGGTTAGTTGTTAGTGGGTATATTAAAATAATATTTAAAATAAAATAACTAAAATTGATTTGATGTAAAAGTATAAGAGAGATGATTGAAGTGATTGTTAGTTAAAATAATGTGAGTGGATGAACAGTGAATTAAGATTGATGTGGTGTGTATGAATGATTGATTGATATTATTTAATTATATTAATAATATTGATGATAGTGAGATTGAGTAAAGTTGAGTTAAATTTTTTTGAAAAATTTCAATATTTTGACTCAACCACTTTTTTTAACTCAACTTTAACTCAATCTCACTATCTGTCTACTCACAAAAATTCATTCCACTCAACTCTCTAATAATTAAAATAATTGTAAAAATCATTCCCTCAATATCACAACACACAATTTTATTCACCTTCTTATAATTTTTTTTATCACTTCTAACTTTCTTCTTTCTCTCCTTTCATTTGTCTTGTGATTTTTTTTTCTCAGTTTTTTTAGGTGATGCCTGACAAATTCCGGCGAAAGACGGGCGCGATAAACGTTCGCAAAAGACAGGTGCAACGTACTCCCACGAAAGACGGGCCCGACGAACATCGACGAAGGACGAAAGCGACCAACTCCCAACAGAGAAACTTGCGTGACCAGCTCCGAAAGACTCCCAACTAGCCTTTTTCCGACGAATGAAGATTGTCACTCTCTGTAATACCTCCCGACACCTGAGGCGAATGTTTTAAAAAAATAAAAATAAAAATCGGTGAGTTCTTATTCTTTATATCCTCCCCATAAAAGAGGGTGTCAGTGATTGTTGATTGTTGTTCATGTCTGTTAATGTGTATACTGAAAACTTGGTTTTTTGTTAACACTATTCCAGTTTGAATGAAAACCATGGTTAACTAAACGCTTCTATGATATGATGTTTTACATTTAGATAATTATTGTTCATTACGGATGAGCAGAATATCAAATTATCAGTTACTTGTAAAACATAAATAATTAGTTCACAACTGTTGTATCCAACATGTCCGATCACAAAGAAATGATGTGACCCACATTTTAAACTCAGCCCAAGTGTACAAATAGGCCCCAGAAATGCAAAGATCACTTCATAGTCGGCCAAAGTTGTCCCAGATAGGGTTGTCGATCACTCGATCGGCACGACGATCACCTGCAGAAGCTTTTCGAGGAAGATAGATAATCACACTGACCGTATGAACAAGCCCTGATAAAGCTGGTAGCATTGTCCGACATGTCCCATTAACTTTTGCATGGAAACACATGGCACTACCTAGGATTGTAAACGAATCGAATCAAAGCGAATACTAAGATGTTCGATTTGGATTCGTTAAAATATTCGGGGATTCGAATTCGTATTCGATTTGTAAACTAACTCATTTTTAATTCGTATTCGATTCATTTAGAATATTCAAACATATTTGATTCGATTCGAAATTCGTTTTCAAAAAAATATTATAATTACAAAAAAAAAAAAAATATAAAATATTGTTTATGTTTTTCCTATCCAATTTGAGATGTTTTTAGGGCAAATTGTTAATTTGGGATGGTTTTTCATTTTATATCAAAAAATATTAAGAATATAACAATATATATATAAATATATATATATATATTATAAACAAATTTTATACCATCTATAATTTATAAAATTTATATAATTATTATTAATGAATCGAATACTTGATAATTTCGAATAGAATATCTACAAATTCAGATTCGAATTCATTTAACTTTCTATTATAAAACACTATTCCTATATTCGAATTCGAATCACAAATATCAAATTCGAATATCGAATCGAATAAATAAAATTGCTTTATTTACAAGCCTAGCGTCACCTTACGCCCTTAACTGACACTCCTCATTTAATGAACGGACACCTTTTTCGTGTATAAATACCGGCTCTTTAGCCTATAAGAAGACAATAAAATCAAATCATATAAAAAAACAAAGCCTAAACACACATAAGTCCTAAATTCTCAAAGATCATCACGATCACAACTACCATATTTTATGCTATTACATTTGATCTCCCGAAGATCGTATATAAAACATTCGGCTGTAATTTGCATATGCCAAGTCCAATATGTCTCTTGGTAGACATGGCCATGATCGGTCCAGAACTGGCTCGTATGCACAGGTCATTTAACTGGACCTGTACTACAAACAGGCTGATTCCAGGTCTTAAATTGTTTTTTAACCCGTCGATTTCGGATCGATTTTGGGCCTAAAGACGGGCCAAACCTTCATTTNGAATGGGCCGATCCCGAACTGCTAGGCTTGTGAACCGGCCCAAAACCACCAAGCTTGTGAACCGACCCATACCTACATCCGAGCGAGTACTTGCTTCCAGGCCCGGCAATCTGCCGGGCCGGGTCAAGTCCAGACCCGGCCTGCCAAATGCCCATGTTTAACTCTTGGATGCATTCTCACATAGATAGATGCTTCTAGAACGCGACACGACTTCACACCTAAACCTCACCTTCCCTGCCGCATTTCCGATTAAACCCCTTATCTTCACCATCTCTACTCAAACCCTAAAATTCCAAATTCTTAAAAGGTTCTGTGCCCGATCTTCCATTTCATTTATCTTCACACGTACAAAATCCTGTAGGACATCCTCCGTGAAGGTCTGGAAATGGCGGCTTCGGCAGCTCAGATACACGCCCTCGGGGCCTCAGCCTACTTCACGTCCGGAAATTCCACAAAAAAGAATGCCACTAAAACAGTTTTCTTCGGGTCGAAGCTGAATAACAATGATCTGATGAGGTTGAATTTGAAATGTAAGGCCAGAAGCACTTCCCGTCGTGGCACGCCACTCCGTGTGGTGGCGGAGAAAGTCGTTGGAATTGACCTTGGGACGACCAACTCTGCGGTGGCGGCTATGGAGGGCGGGAAACCCACAATTGTTACCAACGCCGAGGGCCAGCGGACGACGCCGTCTGTGGTTGCCTATACGAAGAACGGGGACAGGCTAGTGGGGCAAATTGCCAAGCGGCAGGCGGTGGTGAATCCTGAGAACACATTCTTCTCCGTGAAGAGATTTATTGGGAGGAAGATGTCGGAGGTAGACGAGGAGTCAAAACAGGTCTCATATCATGTTGTGAGAGATGACAATGGAAATGTGAAGCTTGAGTGTCCTGCCATCGGGAAGCAGTTTGCAGCTGAAGAAATTTCAGCCCAGGTAATATTTAACTCAAGTGGTTTGGATATTGTCATTACTTTACACTTAAACTGTGATTCTCTTTTTTTTTTTTTTCNTTTGTCTTATCAAGAATATTATATAATGGTCATTGAGTTGGGCTTTAGTTTGGAGTTCCACCTTCACACACACACATACACACACACACACACACAAAAGTTGGATATTTCTGTATGCTATTATGCTGAGGGATTGAACTGGCTGGTTCATATCGGCGCTTGAATAACACTGGAAGCAGCACATTTCACCTTGTATTATTTTACTTGAATTAAAAGCGGAGATATTATCAGGTTTCTTATACTTGAAGAATGTTCTTTGAATGATCCCACAGCAGCATGATTAAGTCTGAAATGGAATTTTGGCATCTACATGTTTTTCATGCATGCATGAAGGAGATGCAAACACCAATTGGTTTCTGGGCAGTTTTCTGTGAAGCTTTTGCACCTTTTGCTACATCCAAAATATCCCGAGTTGCTATAATTTGCATAAATCCCTTGGCCAAATTTATGGTAGCTAGTTGTTGAAATTCTGTATTTTTTTTTGGTTTCTTGAGCTTTTGCCTTTATTTGGATTTTGGATAGCAATTCAATATTTCTTTCTAGTACCCAATTAGGATGAGAGAATTCTAACCTCTTCATGGTTTAGGTTTTGAGGAAGCTTGTGGATGATGCATCAAAGTTTTTGAATGACAAGGTGACTAAGGCAGTGGTCACTGTCCCTGCGTACTTCAATGATTCTCAGAGGACTGCTACGAAGGATGCTGGTCGTATTGCTGGTTTGGAGGTTCTCCGTATAATAAATGAACCAACAGCTGCTTCACTGGCCTATGGTTTTGAGAAGAAAAGTAACGAAACTATTTTGGTCTTTGACCTTGGTGGCGGTACTTTTGATGTTTCAGGTAAGAAATCTGTCTCAATTTTCAAAATTTTGTTCTGCTTGGTAATTGTTCATTATTGGGGCTTGCTTTAATGGACTCTATTTAGTTTTCCGTTATAAGGTTTACTGTGCTTGTAACACGTATACCTGGAGTTGGATATACAAATTTGAATATAAACTCGAACAATGATTTTGATTGTTTGTAGACTCCTTTAGGCAGTAACTCATGTAGGACAGTGTCGTCTATAGATAAAATTGTGGGTCTGTTGTAAAATGACGTTAACACTGTCTTCTGTAAAGTTAATTAACATTTCAAATTCATGTAAATCTGAAACTGCACCATTTTGAGATTTTTTATGTCGTCTTATTATATTTTTATTATTTTCTTTTTATATTTTGATTTTAGTTCTTGAGGTTGGTGATGGTGTGTTTGAGGTGCTGTCTACTTCTGGAGATACACACCTTGGAGGTGATGACTTTGATAAGGTTTGTGTAGCTATCTTGCCCACTCGTTGAAATATCCTGTTCTCTTAGGCTTTCCAAACCAATTGGCAAATGCATTGGTTGATAACATTGTTGGAATTCTTCATATAGAGAGTTGTTGATTGGCTCGCTTCAAATTTCAAGAATGACGAGGGAATAGATCTGTTAAAGGATAAACAGGCTCTTCAGCGTTTGACCGAGACAGCTGAGAAAGCTAAAATGGAACTATCATCTTTGACACAGACTAATATCAGGCATGTTTTGATCCTTGCATTTCTTTTGGGAACTTTCCTCATGCACCCAACTTACCTCTGATTTTATTCTTGGCCAGTTTGCCTTTCATTACTGCCACTGCAGATGGTCCAAAACATATTGAAACCACTCTTACAAGGGCCAAGTTTGAAGAGTTGTGCTCGGATTTGCTTGACAGGTGATTTCCGTATTCTTGTGTTCTTTTACAATATCCCATTTTCTATTTCCTTCAACTTATTATAACTGGGACACATGTCACTCACTTTCTCAGGCTCAAAACTCCTGTACAAAATTCCTTGAGGGATGCAAAGCTCTCCTTCAGTAACATAGACGAGGTAATCCTTGTTGGTGGCTCTACCCGTATTCCAGCTGTGCAGGAACTTGTTAAGAAATTGACCGGAAAAGACCCTAACGTTACTGTAAACCCTGATGAAGTTGTTGCCCTAGGAGCTGCAGTTCAGGTCGTCCATGTTCCTCTAATGCTTTTGTCCCCTAGGCGTAAATGTTATTTTTTCCTAACTACGTATTTTGCTAATTTTAGGCTGGTGTTTTGGCTGGGGATGTTAGTGACATTGTCCTTCTTGACGTGACACCATTATCTTTGGGCTTGGAAACTCTTGGTGGGGTAATGACTAAGATCATTCCAAGAAATACCACATTGCCCACCTCAAAATCTGAAGTGTTCTCAACAGCTGCTGATAGCCAGACTAGTGTAGAGATCAATGTACTTCAAGGTGAGAGAGAGTTTGTTCGGGACAATAAATCTCTAGGCAGCTTCCGTCTTGATGGAATCCCTCCTGCTCCCAGAGGGGTTCCTCAAATCGAGGTCAAATTCGACATTGATGCTAATGGGATCCTATCTGTCACTGCCATTGACAAGGGAACTGGGAAGAAGCAAGATATCACCATTACTGGTGCCAGCACATTGCCGGGCGATGAGGTTCGTGGTTTCACTGATATCTTGCTGGAATCCTGAAAACTTTGTAGCTGTTTGAATGAGAATGCCATGCAGTATACTTTGGTTAAATTAGATTTCTTTTCATTGTCAGGGATGTTGGGTTAGTTTATTAAAATGTAACTACAAATATAACCTTGAATACTAAACTGGATTAATCAAGTTATAGCTAATTTTACCAATGTATGGAGTAGATGCTAAGCAAACACAAACCTGAGGCTACTGTCTGCAATAGAACAAGGAGGTTATGTAATTTTGAAGAAGTAACTCTTGGGTTTTCACAATGCCTTCAATTTAACTGATGTATCCGGATATTTTAATGAATGGAAAGGAGCTTAGATATTGTTCCTTTCTTGTGAAGGAGGATTATAGGACATTGAATAGCAGGGATTCTTATCGTCTATGCTCAACTTCTTTTTCCTTTTTGTTTTGTAATGTTGAAAATCGATTCATATTTTATTGTAAACACCAACAGACAGATTTTGTTACTATCCACTTTGAAACATATTTTATTTGAATGACTTATATCGAAAACAGGTGGAGAGAATGGTGAACGAAGCTGAAAGATTCGCAAAAGAAGACAAGGAGAAGAGAGATGCCATCGACACTAAAAACCAGGCTGACTCAGTAGTTTACCAGACAGAAAAGCAGTTGAAGGAGCTCGGGGACAAAGTCCCTGCCCCTGTCAAAGAAAAGGTCGAGGCCAAATTGGGAGAACTCAAGAACGCCATCACTGGCGGCTCAACCCAAGCAATGAAAGATGCCATGACTGCTCTCAACCAAGAAGTAATGCAGCTTGGGCAGTCACTGTACAATCAACCGGGCGCTGCTGCCTCTGGTGCTGGACCAACACCACCTGGTGAGGGGTCAGCCGACAAAGGACCTGATGGTGATGTCATTGATGCAGACTTTACAGACAGCAAGTGATTTAAATGACGAGATTATTTTTTACTTTTTTGACCTGTTACCCTTTTTTGTCGTGTATACGGGATATTTTGGCGGTCAAGAGTTAGTTGCGATAGTGCTTGGAAGTGTTGAATCATAGGTGCTTCCTGTAAGAAAAGATGCGGTATGCTTGAAGAACTGTCATTTTT